TGACCTCGACTCCACTGTATTTATCCATGATTAAACCTCGTTCCTATCGTTTTCTACTAAATTAGATACTTGTACGATTTATTCCCGATCCTCCTAAGCGACCACCTCACCGAGCGAATTAAGATCTCTGCCTCCCTTCCTCCCGACGGCCCTGGAGCTGAGCATATTCGGTACATAGGAGGAACGGAGGATTCCTTTTTTCCGACACACAGCACGTCAAACACCGACCGAAAGAACGCTAGCTCTTCCGACCGATTAATCAGAACCACGTGTCTGATATCTCTTTCCGCGAAATAATAACATATTTCGGAGTCCCGTCCGGAATACCGTACCGGGAGGAGCTAGTGCATTCGTTACATGGCGCCCGAACAGGGACCTGCTGTGTGAAAATCGTATAAAGTCTCTGCTCGGTGACAGCGAAGCAAACCGGAAAACAGGAAGACTGTGCCTCAGCCGAGAACGTCACTAGCCACAGTAGAAGCCACAGCATACGACCGGAATACTTGTTGTTGGAGGTGCAAACAGAGAGGGCACAATCGTTTCCGATGCCAGAATCCAGTGAAGAAATTGTGCTCCTATTGTGGCACCGACGGGAAACTCACAAAGGAGTGCCAGTGCCAGAAGCCGGGAAACGCCAAGAGGGCCGGCGACACAGGAAGTCAGGTCCTGAGACCGGCCCGTTCAAAATTAATAACGACCAGGGAAAACCGACCGTTCTTGACCATAACGATTGGTAAACACAGATGCACGGCGCTCATTGACACCGGGTCAGTAAACTCTTACTGCAGTCAAGAAACGGCCGACATATGCCGCCAACACGGATGGCGTCAACACAAAGAAAGCCGAGTCGCAGTCCTGGCCGACGGTACGGAGAGCGTTCTGCGTAACAAATTAACCGGGGATATGACTTTAATGGGCATCAGTACGGAGCAGACATTCCTGATAATGAACAATCTCAGCCACGATATTCTTCTGGGCATGGATGCCCTGACCAAACAAGGAATCGAGATCCGCCTTACCGGGCGAGAAATACTTAGTGGAGGAGGCGCAACCGGCATCAATGCCGTAGAAGATCCGGGGGGACTAACGCACCTGAGGAAGGCAGAGAGAGCCAGACTCAATGCTTTTATTAAAGACGAAATGGAGAAGTTTGGGGGCATTAGGGGGAACACTCCCCTCATCCAGCATGAAATCAGACTGGAAGACCCTTCGCCGATAAAACAGCGCTATAGACCTCGAAACCCAGTAATGCATAGAATCATCGAGGAAGAAGTAGAAAAAATGCTTAGCGAGGGAGTTATAAAACCCTCGACCAGTCCCTGGAGCTCGCCTATCGTCGTTGTCCAGAAAAAAGACGGTAGACCGCGTCTGTGCATTGACTACCGCAAGTTAAATAAAGTCACCCGAAAAGACGCTTATCCATTGCCGCAAATCAACGCGACATTGGATAAGCTTAGAGGGGCGAAATACCTTTCCACGATTGACCTGAAGAACGGGTATTGGCAAGTACCCCTGACACCAGAAAGTAAACCTTTGACCGCCTTTACCGTCGCGGGGAAGGGTTTATTTGAGTTTAACGTGATGCCTTTCGGCCTGCATTCCGCACCTGCTACATTCCAGCGGTTACTCGACCGGGTAATTACGCCGGAACTGCTCCCGAACGCCTTCGCATACCTGGATGATATTGTCATAATTTCGAAGACGTTTGACGAGCACTTAGAGACTCTGAAAATTGTTTTTGAGCAACTAAGGAACGCCAAACTCAAGCCGAATCCGGAGAAGTGCCAATTCGCACGATTGAAACTAAAATATCTCGGCCACATAGTCGACCATAACGGCTTGCATGCCGATCCAGACAAGACCGCCGCCGTACTAAACCTCACGCCGCCTCGAAACGTCAAGGAAATCCAGCGCTTCATGGGACTTATCTCGTGGTACCGACGTTTCCTGAAAGACGTGTCCAGTGTCGCTGCCCCGCTACACCGCCTCCTGCGCAAGCGAGCAAAGTGGGAATGGTCCGAGACGCAACAAGCAGCGTTTGACGAAGTGAAGAAGTTACTGACGAATGCTCCGATATTATCCTGTCCAGATTGGAGCCAGACATTCGTCCTCCAGACCGACGCCAGCCAAGAAGGGCTAGGCGCAGCACTTACCCAGCAGATACGCGGATCCGAAGGAGTGATCGGATACGCCAGCCGGACACTCACCAGTGCCGAGAAGAATTACTCGGCAACCGAACTAGAATGCCTTGCAATCAAGTGGGGCATCTGGAAATTCCGCGATTATCTGGAGGGGTATCACTTTGTAGTCCTGACGGACCATCACTCATTAAAATGGCTAAACACCATAGAAAGTCCTACGGGACGGTTGGCTCGATGGGCGCTAGAATTGGGACAGTACGACTTTGAGATCCAGTACCGAACAGGCTCCGATAACTTGCTTGCCGATACGCTATCAAGACAGCCGCTTGAAATCTGTGCAACGGGAGTTCCGACGTCCGATTGGTACAGCCGAAAGTACCAAGAAGTAGAAGAGCATCCTGACTTAAATCCTGACTACCGTATAGAGAATGGCCAGCTCCGTCGGCACATTCTACACACGCTCGACTACAATGACACTCCCGAGGCACAGCAATGGAAAAACTGCGTCCCCAGCGATCAGAAAGCGGAAGTGTTACATCAACATCACGACGATCCGACGGCAGGGCACTTAGGCGTCGCGAAGACCATAGTACGCCTCGCGAAGGAGTATTATTGGCCTGAAATGTCCCGGGAGGCCGCACAATACGTGCGCAATTGTAACAGCTGCCAGAAATTCAAAACGGACCAGCGAAAACCGCCCGGAAAATTGCACGCGCTCGACGTAAAGGAACCGTGGGAAATAGTGGCCGCCGACTTGGTCGGACCGCTTCCGAGATCCGAAAATCTCAATACCTGGCTCCTGGTTTTTCAGGACAAATTAACTAAGTGGATCGAGTTACAACCGCTAAGGAAGGCCACGGGGAGTGCGGTTGCAAAAGCTCTCCGGGAAAAGATCCTCCTGCGCCATGGTTGTCCGCAAAAACTAATTACAGACAACGGCCGGCAATTCATTTCGACCGATGTAAAAGCCGTCCTAGAAAAGTATAACATACGCACCGGTTAACACCGCCTTATGCTCCTCAATGCAATCCTGTGGAGAGAACAAACAAGGTAATAAAAACCATGATTTCTCAAACCATAGAGAAATCACAGAAAAAGTGGTATCGTTTTATCCCAGAACTGGCATATGCATATAACACCGCACATTGCGAGTCGACGGGCTATACACCGGCGTATCTCAACTACGGCCGAGAATTACGACCGTCCGGAAACGTAGGGCAAAAAACCGTCAACATGGAGCAAGAGGATCGCGAGTCACGAATTAAGCAGATGCACGAAGCATTAGAACTCGCAAGAGTTAAACTGGCGCAAAGTTTCCAGCGGCAACAGCACCACTATAATCTCCGGCGCCGAGAATGGAAGCCCCGAGTGGGGGAAAAGGTACTGAAACGGACGCACGAATTATCCAGCAAAGCGATTTTAATACAAAGCTTGCGGCAAAATACGAGGGGCCGTATGTCATTCACCGGGTGCGATCGCCTGTAATTTTCGAGTTACAAACCACCGACGGCAAGAAAGCCGTGGCACGCGTACATATACGCGACCTGAAAGCGATCAATCAATAATGGGCCTGTACTTCGCGTGACCTACTTCCGAAGCTTGTATTTCGCGTGACCTACTTCCGAAGCCTGTACTTCGCTTGACCTACTTCCGAAGCCTGTACTTCTCCGAACTGTTTCCGGCACCAGTATTTCTCCGAATTACTTCCGGAGCCTGTATTTCTCCGAAGTCCCCGACCGTTGGCCGCTCTACCTCTCCCCTCCACCCACGCGCTTCCGATATAAAAATTCGCGAGCCGGACGCGGAAAATCAGTACGGCTCCGATTTTCCGAGATGACGGATCCGACCTCGCGAACGCCGACGCTCCCGCGAAAAGTAGTGCCGCCCGCTAGACCGCCGCTGGTCGGGATAACGCCGAGCCAACCACCAGGCTCCAGGAGGAGTAACGGGGGACAATTCTGGAAGAGGGTGGTCACCCGCCGCATCCGGAACACGACGGAGATGATCCGCCGCGGACTTGCGGGACCACGACGGCCACCGGAGAACATCCCGGTGGTGAGCCTCTCGGACGAGGAGAATGTGCCGCCAAACGCCACCGTTTCCTCCTCCGCCCGGGCTGCCGGGCCCACCATCAAGTTAATCGAGGTGTTCCCGCGGCACACGTTCCGGCTCATCAGGCCTCCGGACGATGGGGGAAGTTCCGCCATCTCCGCAGCCGGGGCCGCTGCCCCAGCTGCTCCGCCCGTGAAGGGGATCGCCGGTACCACCACCGCTCCGACCGCTCCACCCCTCACGCCCGCCACCGAGGGACCGATCACCGCGGCCGTCCCGCACGCTGTGGCAACCCCTGCCACCCCCGGGCCCGGGATCACGCAAGAGCCGACACCGCTTCCCCAGGTGGGGGTGGAACAATGCCGCGGATGCCCCGCGACCCGTTCTACATCGCCCGCACCACACCACGGGAGGAAAAAGACGTCGTGGTCGACAGGTGCTTGATCCGGGTGCCCGTCGGCGTAAAACGCTGGCGCACCCGGATCGGGAAAATAAAATATGCGCTCCGTCTCGATCCGAAGACCGGGACGGTGCGCCATTGGTCGAAGCGTCTGTTGCCGTAATATCGTAAGTAGTCAAAATCTTCGAAGAGCGGAAATCCGGAAATTCCGTTCTCCGAAAGAAGGGGGGGTGTAACGGAGGCGACCGGGGAGGCGCGGCCGGAATCCGAAATTCCGGGAGCGAGAGAGAAAGAAATAGAGGCGCGGCTGTTAGAGAGAGACGGCGCTACCAGCTGTGGCTGGAAAATCGATAACGCGCGGTTGCCGCGTCGGCGGCAACCGGCAACGCCGCGCCTGCCCCCGCCGCCTCTCCCCGCGCGCCTGCATCCGGGGGGTATAAAAGCCCCTCCGGAGCAGGCGCTTTAACTCAGTTTTGCCTCGGAGCTCCGAGCGACAACACCGGGCAGTGGGTACCTCCGCTGCAGGTATAAGCCGGAGTGAATGGGTGCTCCTGTCTTCGGCTATATACCGTTCCGGAGCACACAACGGAGGCTCTACTCCGTCGTGGGCCCCGTCCCGCAGTAGCGTACGCCTAACGGGGTGCTCCTCGGCGTACACATGCTACAAATCTTTCCCGTACCGGTCTCCTGAATCCGTACCGTCCTGACTCCGTTTCCGCTGTGACAGCGGGTACCGCCGCGGTTCGCGGGGAGGGAGTAATTCCACAGTAGCGTACACCTAACGGGGTGCTCCTCGGTGTACAATCACTACTGGAAAATTACACGCATAACGAGGCGCTGCTCGGGCGTGTTCCTGTCCTCAGCCTGATCCTTTTCCTGATTCCTGACCGGTGTAGAACTCAGGGGGGTAATATTCGGGTGGGAAGAGAGATTCCTGATTACTTTAGTATTAAGCTCCGTAGCGTTAATCCCGTCATTTTTTCTTCCTTCCAGAATACTTGAGGATCCTGTAACTAACGTCCTTTCCGACCGTTCCGGCGTTAGCAGTTTTTTAGTCATAGCCTATTCCGATCCGTTTGCATATTATTCCTACTTTATATCACTTTTCTATACTCTTTGATCCAGCGACATTTATATTCATTTTCGATTACTCCGACCGGCCGCGTTATCTTGTATCCTGTGTTCCGATCCGACCGCGCACTCCGGTACATTATTACAATCCCGTTAATCATAATCCTTTTGTTCTCATTGTATTTAATCACAGGGCGGACCCATTGTAATGACCTCGACTCCACTGTATTTATCCATGAATAAACCTCGTTCCTATCGTTTTCTACCAAATTAGATACTTGTACGATTTATTCCCGATCCTCCTAAGCGACCACCTCACCGAGCGAATTAAGATCTCTGCCTCCCTTCCTCCCGACGGCCCTGGAGCTGAGCATATTCGGTACATAGGAGGAACGGAGGATTCCTTTTTTCCGACACACAGCACGTCAAACACCGACCGAAAGAACGCTAGCTCTTCCGACCGATTAATCAGAACCGCGTGTCTGATATCTCTTTCCGCGAAATAATAACATATTTCGGAGTCCCGTCCGGAATACCGTACCGGGAGGAGCTAGTGCATTCGTTACGAAGTTAAGATCATTGAATATGTGATTTAATTTCAGTCGTTCCATTATTGTCTGTTCTATACAGCTTCAGCAAATCCTACATGACAATATTTTCCGTTGCCCATACTATCTATGTGAGTTGTTCTTGGAGTTCCCAAAAGTGTACGAGAATCCTTAGGAAAATCTACCTCTGTAAACTCCCGTAATATATCTAATAAATAATTTAACGAGATATGAAATATTTTAAATTTCTTAGCCCAATGTGTTATTTTTAATCGGAATTGTTTCGCATGCCAAAGTTGCGTATTTTCAGTTTCTTTATAATATAAAGTATCATTACTTAAAATCCTTTTATTATGTTCAGAAGAAATTTCATCATTTTCAAATACTACACATGTTTCGTCGTCACCTTCGCTATCACTATATTGATTTTGAAGTAAAACAGATATTTCTTCATTTCCTTAAAAAAAAATTTGAATCAATATATTTGTTCATGTTTGGAGGATTGCACTACAAACGTGTGCGCTCTCTCTCTGTGAAATAATTGTAAAAATTATAAATAAAACTTCTCTTCACCTTTATTTGTTTTATTCAAATGTTCATTCTCGGCATCACATACATAATTTTCTACAGGCTTTATATTGTCAGGAATATCAGTAGGGTATACGAGGGGGGACCCAAAAGTAACGGGAATGGGACGGTGGGCGCAAGACGGAGTGGGGGGTCGGGTTCTCCAGTGGGTGGTTCTGAGCGTTGACTCTCCGTGAGTCGGTGTGCGCAGTCTGGTCGCTGTGAGTGCATCCGTTCGTCCGTGAGAGTTTTTTCAGTAAAACAACTTTTCCCGTTTCGCCGAAAACGTGAGATGGCTGACTGCCGGGAGCAACGCGAGCCTGTGATTTGTTTTCTGTTGGGGAAAACGCCCGCGGAAACTCTTGTGAGGCTTAAAATAGCTTATGGGGATGATGCTCTAATTGTAAGTAAAACACGTGTCTACGACTGGTTTTCGTGTTTCAAGAATGGAGAGATGTCGATTGAAGACGAACCTCGTTCTGGGCGCCCCTCAACTTCAAGAACGGACGACAACGTTGAAAAAAATCAACACCCTTATTCGAGAAGACCGTCGCCGAACCATTGATCAACTTTGTGAGATGTCTGGAGTGTCATGGAGTTCAATTCAGAGGATTTTATCCGAACACAGGGAATTGGTTCTTCCACCACGACAACGCACCTGCCCACTCACGTTTTCGGCGAAACGGAAAAAGTTGTTTTACTGAAAAAACTCTCACGGACGAACGGATGCACTCACAGCGACCAGATTGCGCACACCGACTCAGAACCACCTACTGGAGAACCCGATCCCCACTCCGTCTCGCGCCCACCGTCCCATTCCCGTTACTTTTGGGTCCCCCCTCGTATATGGGGTTTCTGGACCACTTTTGGAGGGGGAAACCGGGCGGTCCTAACCGCTGGGGGGAGGGGGAACCGCGCGGTCCTAACCGCGGGGGAGGGGGGATGCGGCGATTCTAACCGCGGGGGAAGAGATATGGCGGTCCTAACCGCGGGGGAGGGGAAACCGGACGGTCCTGGGGATACGGTAGTCTTAACCGCGGGGGAGGGGGATACGGCGGTCCTTACCCTATGGGATCCTACGCAGCGGCCCTAACCGTGGTGCGGGGAGGGAGAGGTCCGGGGCGAGGGGGCTCGGTTGCGGGCGCGGAGATGGGTAAGGGAAGGGAGGGGATATGGGACTGGGCCCGACGGTGCGGCAGATTTTCTACAGAGTAAACAGATTAGTGGAGGATTAAAATTCTTTACTGGAGTAAACAGAATAGTGGGAGGACTAAAATTCTTTCCTGGAGTGATCAGATTAGTGGGAGGATTAAAATTCTTTACTGGTTGGGGGAGAAACTCTGTTGGAGATATAGAATTGTAGTTTGTAAAATGTAACTAACAATATATTTTCTATCACATTCTATCTTATTCTATATGAGTGGGTGGGGGAAGATGTAGGGTTAAGGGTGGGGTAAGTTAAAAATTTTCCTGGGACTTCAACTAGTAAAGACGCCCTCAGAGTGTCAGTCGTCGCCGTCGAAGTGAGTCGATTGCTCCGGTGTTTCCAATACATTGTTAGAAGAATGAATCATTACGTTCCTCTGGATATGTCGTCCAAGAAACAGTGTAACGCGTAAGTACCGCAAAGTTATATATTGCATATATATATTGCATACATTTTTCCACATTTAATTGTATTTTTCAAACAGTTTTAGCAATCGGCGTTACATACCGTATGTTCCTCGAAGCAGTTATACGCCATCCGTTTCTCGACATGAAACTGTTTCGTGCAAGAAACAGCATGATGCGTAAGTACTCTAAAATTATTGTATATTTGTTCATACTTTTCCTGATTTACTTGTATTTATTATACTTTATGTATTCTTTCAGTTCTGATAAACCTCGTTACACGCCTCGTATCATGAGCAGGAGATTCGCCCTGACATCTACCGCGTACAAATACTTGGATGTTGGAATCTGCGTGGTACCTGATGCATCCTATGTAGAATTCATTCTCGGCGACAATCGTGGAAATAAGATTAATTATTTCATTAAATCATTCAACATGGATGGAATTTAACAAGAAACGTGCCGAAATAGAGCAGCTCTTCAAGTCAACAGACGCATCATAATCATCGGTACAGATTGACAATTTAGTTTTAGAACTTGTTAGAATGTACAATAAAAAAGTTGTAAAATTAACGTTAGATGACACTTGCATGTACATGAACATGTCAACTGTATTATTTTTACTCAATCTCGAACATTGTGTAGAGCATGTATATCGCAAACTGTCGGAGGATATAGAAGCTGTAAATGAAAGCTTCGATCAATTTGTGTGTTGTTTGCAAAGTAATATGACCAGTGCCGAGAGAGATGATGCAATTGGTATACTGTACGAGGTATATGATAAAACTTCTGTCATAGATTGTGAATTAATAGTTTATGCTGTAGATGAACTTATTGCTGAAACCTTAAAACGAGGTGATGAACGAAAAAAATTAATAATTGTATAATAAATAAAATTTTCATCCACTGTTGTGCCCCGATTGCCGAAAGAGGTAACGAGGGCACTCAAGCAGTATTACTGCAATTAGAATAACACTAGCGTAAGCATATTGCGCGATCGAGCCACAAAAGCCCGACCGCGCAACCTAATTAAATTCGGAGAAGAAGTCAGCAAGTTCTCGACCCGATTACGCATAGCCTCGATCGAGTACCGAGAAACCTCGATCGAGTACCGAGAACGCTTACGCTTCGATCATCGGGTTTAAAACCGGAGGAAAGCCCGAGATCGGGGCACTTGTCAATCACGCGTCATTCGATACTATACGTTTACGCAATAAGCATTTGTCCGTCAGGCCTTCGGCCTGCCG